GGGTTTTTCAACGTGTATTTGTCAAAAGAATTTTTCTCCAGTTGGACGGGTACCAAACTCATCCTTTTCCCCGCACGGCCGGGCCGTCCTAGACCATGAAAATCGGCTTTTTAAATCTGCGGAATAACTCTATAGTCACATACCCAATTTTCACTCTCCGACCCCGTAGAAAGACGAAAAACAATTACATGTGAAAGTATGTATATAAGGTATGAGAGCACATATAGATCATTTTCGTGTACCCCATGACCTTTTTGTTTATTTATATTCCATTTGTTTCTTTTTTTTCTAATTTCTAAGTTATGAACACATTTTAACGATATTTTAAGCAAAGGTGAGTTTTAACATAACTTAAATGCTTATTGCAGTTTGGTGATGCGGACCATGGTTTGGATCCAGGATTTTTTTTTTTTCTCTAACGATATTTTAAGCAAAGGTGAGTTTTAACATCAAACTCATAACTCAAAGTTATGAACAGATTTGATTGTCTTAGCCTAATTAATATTCCATAAAATTTTGGTGGTTATCCGGAACATCTGGCAAAACTACCCTCCATGGGGGGGGGGGGGGGGTTGCATTTTCGAAATGTTTTGCTCGTAGATGAAACTAAGTATGATAACAAAGAAAAGAAAATACACCATATGAATAACATGTGTTTAGTTATTTGTATGGAAAATTTCTTCTTTATCGCTTTTTGGACGCTTGCAGGATTTTTGAAATTATTATTGGTCTCCTCTTGTGTGAAATTTGATAAGCTTTCAGAAAACCTCATTTTTGTATTCTCCAATCATTGCGTCACAATTGCCGATTTTCTAAGGTAACATAAAAAAAAAAAAATATTTCAGTCGACATCGAAAATCGCTGCTACCTAAAAAATAATGGTTGGGCCTTGAAATTGTCAGGGGAGAACCGGGGGCCTAGAAACTCCTTCAAATTACATTAAAGTCAATTTCGGCAAGAGGGGCGAAAATCGGCGAAAAATCACCAGAAGGTCCCCTTAAATAACTATTTCTATTCAGAAAAGGTTTTCGAAAAACTGAGATTACAACCAAATGTATAAAACGTAGGTTGGAGCCACCTACTTAATTTATACTAAAGATGCTTGTGCCTTATGCGGGGATCTCGCAGTTAAAAACCTTGGGTATCTTGGATCCAGTATGTTTAGTCATTGGCTACCTGCAACCAGGACTGGCGAGGTTACTGTTCAAATTTTAATAAATGAATGACATGAAATCGACTTGGGTAAGTTTTCTAAACCAGCAATTGGTAGTTTTATGGGTGTTGGATAGGAAATCCAATATAAGCATCACACCATCTTACTGATCTGAGTAGTGGTCTAGCTAAGAAGAATGCCCAGATTCCCTGAGAATGGAGGTTTAACCTGAAGTGCAGTGTAAGTTTAATTTCGGTGCCAATTTGTTAATGGGGTATCTTCATGACATACAACCCAAGTCCCCCTAATCCCTTGCCCGTTGTCGTGCTTAGGAGACCTCAACTAATTTTGCACGGTCTATTCTCCTTTCTCTTATCTTTCCCAACCCTTCCCCTATTTAATTCGTAAGATGCAAGAGCCGTGTTGAAAGGCTGACCTCGTGCCAGTCATGAATGGCCTCCGGGAGCCATGGGTATGGTATTTCTTAGTAATTTGGCCCTTATCCCATATGGGGACAATGAGGGCGTGGGAAATTTTTACCTTCCCCACATATGTAGGCTTACCATGGCCAATAATGATTTTGTACCCTTATTAGGGCCATTGAGGCGTGCCTCTTTATCAACATGCCTCTCTGAATATAACTAGTTTACCAACCCCTGACTCCCCTTTGACCAATTCTCAGAACACTACTGGTACACCTCCCTCTTCCTACACATACTACTAACTTAACCCATTCTGAATCATCTACCCAGGTACCAACTTAAAACCCTTAGATATCCCATCCTCCCTCCCAACATCCAGCCAACTTCCTGAACAATCGTCTTCACATTCTACCCCCTCCTCCCTTATTACAACTCTTCAAATGTATCGTCCATGCCTCCATAATACAACTTCACTTCACACCCCTCCCTCCTCCTGCCCTAGTCCCTCTACAATTCCCACTCCCTCAAACTTCTTTAATCTGTTTAGACCATCTAAATGGAATCGATTAATTCCCCCAACAGCCCCTCATTGAGGTAATACCCTACTCTTTCAAAAATGACTCCAAAAACAAGTTGGCAAAATTTTCTTCCAAAGTCGTCCTGTTCGCTCAAACCTAATCAGTTACGTCTGAGACTCAAGCCAGAGCACTATCTACCCTGATTGACCTCACTGGCAAACCTATTCCTGTTCTACCTCACCCCTCCCTTAATACACGTACTGGAACGGTTTCCCTCTCCTTGATTGCCCTGTCTACGGAATAGACTGGATACACTGAAAACGACCTGCTTGGTTGCCTCAATATGATGCTGAATCAGTAAAATGCTACTCTATTCCTCCAGAGGCAATCGTAAATCATGCATCAATAATGCTAAGATTACATTTAGTAGACACGACCTTCCCCATAACGTTTATATAGGAGGGGTTTCTTGTCATGTTAGACCATATCAATCTCCACGCCGCCAATGTCAATGCTGGCGTTTTCGCCACCCTGCAAAGCACTGTCTCTTCCTACTTCACGCCTTACCTATCGCATCAGACAACCCAAGCACCCCCACCCCATCTTCTGCCAGATTCCATCCCACACCTACACTCAGATTCTCAGATACCGATCTCCTTTTCACCTCCCCATAAAAGATCCTTCTTTTCCCAAACGTCTCCACCCAATCCCCCCCAGAAAACTTTGAGGACTTTCTATGAATAACACAAGAGAAAGTTCCTCCCTCTCAACCATCCATCAATTTCTCTACCCAGATTGTGGCTGCATTCACAGTGACTGCCGAAATCCATCATCCCCCTCCTGACACCCCCCCCCCACCCTCTTCCTCCCACTCTATCCACTCCACCACCTGTACCCAAACCAAAAGTCCTTCCTTCCCTAATATCCCTACAACTCTCACCTGGATGCATACATGAATCCCTTTTAGAACAATGTCCTTCCCCAGATCCCATCTTTCTTGATGAACCTCCATATACTATACGTTCACCTTCTCTCCCTGATCCCTCCTCCCATGATGATTTTCTTACTATACTACCACCTCTATCCCCTGATCCCATACCTCAACCCCCAGACACCCCTCCTCTTACTTCTCAGACATACATTGCCACCCATAATAACTGTTGAATGATCTGGCTCTGCTACAGTGGAACATTAGAAGTTTTCCTCACACATCCTCCAGTACCAATTCCCAATTATCATTTTGTGTCATTCCCTCATTTTATATTTGCCTCTTCCATACTTGTCCATCATAAAACACCATATATCATATCTCCTTTACAAACTATAGCTTGCACAGTTATCTGGATTTTCCTCCGCCGCTGGATCACAGTCATTTCAGTCTACTTCTCTCCTTCCCTCCCTATTGACTTTAGAATTTGAGACCTTACTTTCCTAACTCCAACCACCTTTCCTAATAGTTAGAGACTTGCCATACCCTCTGGGGTGACAATACCAGGGGTCGCTCCTTGGAACAATTTCTAGCTAAAACTGACCTTACCCTCCTAAATTCCAATAGTCCAATTCACTTCGACATCCGTACTCAATCCTTTTCATGCCTAGATCTCTGCTCTCCTACCCTTGATATAGACTTCCGCTGGACTGTCCTAAACAGTTTTCACTTGTGATCATTTCCCAATTCTTCTTTCTTAATCCTATTTCCCACTCCCAAACCCTCCTCACTGTTGG